TACCACTACCACTACCACTACCACTACCACTACCACTACCACTACCACTACCACTACCACTACCACTACTACTACTACTACTACTACTACTATTCCTGCTCCTGCTTTGGGGGGGTGGCTTTGCCACAAAACTCTACCCCGCAAAAGGCGAAAGTTTGGCGAAAGTTCATCTCAAGATTGGCGAAAGTTCACCCTGCCACATCTGACCCCCAGCCCATTATGAGTAAGTTTGAGTGACCGGCTACTACAGTGATTCTTGCAATTTTGATTCTTGCTGACACCCAGGAGAAACAAAAGAGACGTACAGGGTGTCAACAGTTAAGTAGAAGACACATGCTGACAAACAGTGAAGTTTCTATTTTGTGTTTGCCAGTAAAGAAGAAGCCATTGACGTGAACAAAACACAACATACATGGCGCACATAAGCACAACGTACTTCGGCGAAAGATAAAAAGCAGGAAGGCGAAAGCTTGGCGAAAGTATTTTTTTTGCGAAAATGACGGATCCCGGATAAAGGAATTTAGATCAACTCCCACATGATCTCCTTCAGGAGCCGCTGTCACTAGAACCACCACAAATAGATTGCAACTTTCTCAACATACCCAGACGCTCCGTGAAAACAGCCCGACTGGTCCCTCCAAACCGGGATTGGTCCGGGTCCGGACCCCTCCGGCCAGGGTCCCAGGGTCGCGTCCGGGTAGATCGAAACATCAACGTTTGGCATTAGGACGTGGCTTTGGACGTTTGCGCCAAAGGATGAGAAAGAAGGTCATCGTTCGAAAGAAAGAAACCCAGACGATCCGCTTGCTTCTCGGTAGGGTGCCGGTGATGCGTTAGTTGTTTGCATGGTTTCCCTACAAGTCCAAAGATTCAGTAAAACCTGGTCTTTTTGGCCTCCTCAAGTAGCGTTTTTGTATGACCACGTCCAGTCAAATGAGGTCAAACTGACCTGTAGGATTTGCATTTGTTTCATCCAGGTTCAAACGGAATTATTCATGGAGGGGCCAAGTGCCTGCCATGATTCCAATCTTTTGGGTACGTCCTATTATATGCCTGTCTGACAGTCCGTAATTAGACAATTATCACTATTTTTCGACAAGGCCACAAGGCTTTTCAACCACCATCATACACTGTTGCAGCTATGAGGGATAGACCCAATAGATATCAACAGATCATCCAGCACAAACACGTACACATCCCTCCGACTCGGATCAGTGACTCTATAGGATAGTACTCCGACCAATTTTCCTTCTCCAAATCGTTTGAGAGTCTCGCTACCGGTCGCCAACGTACACCGCCGGCACCGGTCACCAGGCCCCCATGCAGCCACGAGCCGCTTCGGCGCTGCTCGCGCAAAGGCGCACCTGGCGGGGTGGAGAGCGGGGCCAGGAGCTTCAGTTCGTGAGCACCACCCAGATCTAATCCAGCACCACCCAGGAGACAGGTGGTGGTTTTATAGACCCGCCTGAAGACGCATCGTCCATCCAATAAGCACCCGAGCGACATGGGTGATGCTGGATCAGGTCACTCTTAGGTTTTCCGGTTTTCCCTCTTCAGAGGTCATGACGACGTCGCATTTCGAAGAGGCCACGGACATTGGACCAAGTTGGAAGAAAGATCTGCGCCGCTGCGCCTTGACATTGCACCATCAAACATCTCTACATCCATCCCTCCCAAACCACCCGGGAGAGAGGTGCATCCCTCCTTGGTGAGGGTCCCTCCCAAACCACCACAGATCTGTTTGGACATGTTTGGACCCATCCCTCCCAAACCACCTGGGAGAGGTCTGTGCATCCCTTTGGCGGGTCCAAACAAATCTGTTCCTGAGACGGGACAGAACCCCAGTGGGAACGGACGTCCGTGGTGAACATGTCTCGTGACAGGCACCCGAGAGCCAACAGGTCAGCAAATCTCAGGAATGGACCTCGAAGATCGAGATCTAGTGCGACTGATTGACAATCAAGATGAAAGAGCTGCAGGTTAAATCAGTCAATCACCCTGCAGGTCAGGAACTGACGTCAGTTGACTGGAGTTGGTCATTACAAAAACACGACTCCAGGATGTAAAAGAACAGGTTTTACTGGGTTTGTTTGGACTTGTAGGGATTGAAAGCTTGGCCCAATTTTCGACCCGGAAGATACCAGAAACATCCGAATGGCTCGAGCTGTGGCGAGATCGGTGTCATCGTTGCATGGTAGTGGAACATGGGTACAACTTGGGGAGTGTTTCACTGGCCGGTTGGACTGAACCATGAAGAGGACAACGAAAGTGTCGGTTCCTTTAGTGCCTTTTGTATCGCTTGATCGCTGAATGTGTCGGTGGACGGCGTACGTGTAACTATCCGACGTTGAGACGTGGTTTGAACAGCGTCTCACTCTCGGAAACGGAATTCCGTATTTTTTTGTTCGGGTTCCCGGTGGCCATGGGCCCGGGTTGTGCATGCAAAGCCCTGGTTTGAAGCAGGCACCAGGAAGAGAACTGCCTGTTGCCTGTTGTTTTCGTTTGGAAATGTGTTTTTTCATAGAAAGCAACTGCTCCCTTGCGTTCTCTTCTGTTCGATGATTCCAATATATTCCAATGCCATTGAATATCGTTGAATCTTTATGGCTCCAATCTCCAGCTTGCCTCACTAGGGCATGTCACTGTGTCCTACAAGCTTTAAAGGGCGTGACAAAGAAGAACGCCTTACTAAAGCATGCAGCCCGCAGCTGGCAACTCATTGAGCACCTCAACCATGGAAGCACAGCGACTGTGATGACCTGAAGGGTGGGTGTTTGGCCATCACATGGCTCCACGAAACCAAAGCCAAAGCCAAAAACTACCCAGGAAAAGTGGAGAGCCCGTTGATATCCTTTAATCATATGCTTCTTTCCACACCAAACAAGAACATTGTAGTATATACAATACTTAAAATGTTATATAACCGTTCTTCTGCTTGGCATCTCCCGCACCGGGGGGGCCTTAGAATTACACACACGGACGGTGTTGACGCTTCTCGTCCACCACTCCGTGACGCCCGGAAGCGCGATGATCCGAGACTTTGCCAAGAAGGAACTGGCGACCTGGCTCAGGAAGTGGGTATAGGTGACCCTTGCCAGTGAAGAAATCCTGGCCTTGGGCTCCGGTTTGCACCCCCCTCCGTTTTGCTTCGGTGGGACATGGGACTGGTGGGCTTGGAGGGTCCAATACCTCCACCGAAGCTGAGGAGATGGGCCGTTTGGAGCCCGGAGGGGAAGAGACTTGAGATACCTGCATATACCCTCAGAAGTCCAAGCTTGGCTCATTATGCCCCGATTATGCCTTTGCTAGTTGAATTATGACTCCCAGGCGGGGTCAAATGATATGGACGAGAAGCATATTCCCTTCAAGGTAGCTTCCGTTGCTTGGGGGCCATGGTCCTTCAGCTTGAGTGGGATGTTTCTTTGTAGTATTTGATCATATTGCTTGCTTGTTTGGAAGGAGATGATTGTCGGCTTTTTGGGTCCACAGAGAGGGTTCTTGGCAGAGCACAGACGTCCCAACTCCCGTTGACCCTTTGCCACCTGTGACTTCCTCTGAGAGGTGGCTTCACCTGAACGAAGCATCAAAACAGAATCCGCCACACTGAAGGGAGGCACCTTGGAATCAGCCCCCTGTACTGTACCAGTGTAATACTCCATGTCTCTATGTCCAACTACCCAACATTTTGCAACTCTACACCTGTCTCTTTTCTTTGGCCATTTGTTGAGATCCACGTCCTTCTTCCATCAGGATGACTGAAACCCAGGACCACAAGGACCCACCACTCGCACCATCGCCCCATCGCCGGCCCAGCAACTTCACTCCTGAACGTCCACCGTGGTGAAAACCACTCCTCCCCTGCCGGGTCGACCCCTCCCCAATTCCAACGAACTAGGTCCCGTCTCGGACCCGGAACACCTGGGGGTGCCCGAACGTTCGGATCGTCTTTCACGTTGTTCTTCCACCTGAACCGGCCGTCAGGTCGCTGAGAAGCTGGCCTTTTCCTTCGGCCAGAGCGGCGACTTCACCGTGGTGGCCCTCTCCGAGTCGGCGGACGACGGCTCCGCGAAGTCGCGACGAGAGTTTCAGGCGAGGGTAGGGAAGAAAGGGTGGAAGAGGGGTGGAAGGTGGTGGATGGAACGGATGGAACTGTAGTGGCTGGTGTTTTTCGGTTCCAGCTAGTGATCAAAGAAGTCTAGCTGATCAAAGAATTAACAGCTGAATAGAATACAATATACAGAGGATGGAAAGAGAAGGGTTCAAGTCTGGTGACTGGGCTCGGTATCAGGTGAAGATGGTGACCACTTCTTGTTGTTGAAGGATTCAACAGAATTTCATTGAGTGGGGACGGGTTTTGTTTCGTGCATGGGTACTTGGTTCAGGGCACCGTTCTTCTACTTACGAAGACTTACATTTTCTGTTGTGAACTGCATTGAATGTGACAAAAGCTTGGAATATGTTTTTGTTCTGAGCCGGATTTTCTGGATACTCCATCCTCCCATCCTTTTGCCCGCCTGGTGGGAGGTGTGGTCTCATATTTTGTCATCTTGGTCGGATGTCTTCGAGAAGATGCTGAGCCACAACTTGAAAGAAAAGGCGGAGCAAGAAGTGGTCGCTAGGCTGATCCTGGCCACTACAGAACAAAACAAATGGTCATATGAGTCATATATGATGTAGCTTGAGTTTACTGAGTTTACTGGTTGATGAAACAGCTACTATTCAGATGCCCTTCTGGTGACCTATTTGATGGATTCTGATTTTCGGCGCACAATGTGCAGGTGCCACTGTTGTGGGGTAGTCTGGGGGGCCAGGAGAGTGTAAAAGAACGAAAAAGAGGCAAGGTCCGCACTTTTTGATCCAATGGCCATTTATGGTGCAGACAAGATGGAGCATGTTGTGGTGGCAGATCATGGGCGGGTCTGTTTTCAACATGATCAGTGCTTATGATCCTTTGCAGCTCATGTGGAGATGAAAGTCGTTGAAAGGCGCGGTCCGCAGTCAATCTTGCACAACCGATGGGTTATGGATCATGGATTATGGTCAGCTGTCATCTTAATTTTTGGGAGCAGTCTTGCAAGTTGGTGGAACAACAGATGGATTATGGATGCTTCCTGGCTTCCACAACCCATCTTAAACCATGCTTCCCTCGGTAAACAATTATCACTATTTTAGAGGAAGGCCTTTACTAGGCATCATCATGCACTGGTACAGGGCATGGGATACACCCAATGTTTGTTCACAAGAGAACCCGGTGCCAACGCTCCAAAACCAATTGGCAAACAGGCCAAATCAGGCCAAATGGTCGTACACTCCCCTGGGAGCCCCCAACACCCGAAAGTAAGGGCGCTGGATGCTGAGAGGTGGATTCTGTGGAAGAGCCCTTTGTACTCCAACATGCATTGATTCGAACACATTTTATTCTACTGCCTTTCGGTTGACTAGTTGCGGAACCTGACACTGATATGTGGAGATGGTGTCACATTTGTTTTTAAGGGTGACCCCAACAATCATCTTGAAAAACTCTGACACTGTCTTGTTGCCACAAGAAAGGTGTTTCCTCCTCCAAGAATCTGTCCTTCAAAAAACTTAGGTTGATCCATCCTGGCTGGCTTGTAAGTCATACTGCGGCATAGATGCCCCTCTCCCGACTCGCTCCCGTCTGCCCCATCCGCCGCCCCCCATCCGGTCCCGGTCCTGAGGTCATTCAGGACTTCTCGCCTCAGGGGGTCGAGGCGAGGACCAGCATGGACCAGCATGGACCAGATACGACAGATATGTGGGACTGGCATAGCCGATCACCTAGGGTGGTTTTCCAAAGGGGTGAATAGAGGTAAATATGCCATGCATGGAGTGTTTTGGGACCAGCACTTGACCAGAGTTTATGCTGGTCCCCAAATAGATTAAATAGAGCTAGTGGCGCGGTGTTCAATACATGTTGAAAGGGATTTGACCCAATTTCGATCATTTGGGTTTTAGAACAACTCTTGCTCACGCTGTGTGGCGGCGCCAGAGTCTCCAGATGGCATGGAGTTCCTTGAAAGGCAAACCGTCACAAAGTCCCGTCAACCAAACCACCTCACACGACCATTGGATGCAGTAAAATGAGTCCGACGAACTACTGCCTGGCTGCAATCAGTAGGGATTGTTTCAAGAAGTTTCCGACCAAGCAGCCAGTATCAAACATGTTTGGTTTAGACACGAGGTGGTCTTTACAAAAAGAAAGCTCACCGTTCTTCTAGGGCTGTCGCTCGCCCAACCACGATGAACCCTGATGCTGTTTCCGAGGCCTTCCTGCGCTTCCTCTATTCCGGCACCTTGGAAGTACCTCCAGGGACCCTGGTGGAGGTCATGCTGATCG